GGTTTTGGGGGAAAATGGGGAGGTTTTGGGGCTGAAACGGGGGGATTTTGGGGCGATTTTGAGGTGAAATGAGGGATTTTGGGGTGAAAATGGGGGCATTTGGGGTCCAAACAGGATTTAGAGGTAAAACAAAGGACTTTTTTGGGGAAACAAAGGGATTTGGGGGGATTTTGGGGTGAAACGGGAAGGTTTTGGGGTGATGTGGGGGGATTTTGGGGTTGAAACGGGGGTTTTCGGGGGATTTTGGGGTGAAATCAAGAGATTTGGGGTGAAATCGGAGAGTTCGGGATGATTTGAGGGCAAAACCAGGGGATTTGGGGTCAAAACAGGAGGTTTTGGGGTGAATTTGGGGCAGAACAGGGCGATTTGGGGTCAAATAAAGGGATTTTGGGTCGAAACAGCGATTTGGGGTTATTTTGGGGTGAAACACAGGGATTTGGGGGTGAAACGGAGGTTTGGGGGATTTTGAGGTGAAATAAAGGATTTTTTTGTAAAATGGAGGGATTTGTGGGCAAAATAAAGGGATTTGGGGTGATTTTGAGGTGAAATGAGGGATTTTGGTGGTATTTGGGAGCAAAACGGAGCAATTTTGGGGGGATTTTGGGGTAAAAAGTGGAGAGTCGAGTCAAAACAGGTGGTTTTGGGGTGATTTTGGGGCGAAATAAAGGGTTTTTTTTTTCAAAACGGGTGGTTTGGGGTTGAAACGGGGGATTCTGGGGTAAAATTGAGGGATTTGGGGGCAAAATGGAGCGGTTTGAGAGCATTTGGGGTGCAACAAGGCAATTTTGGGGTGATTTTGGGGTGAAATAAAGGGATCTGGGGTCGAAACAGAGTGATTTGGGGGGATTTGGGGGCCAAACGGAGCAATTCTGGGGTATTTTGGAGTGAAATGGGATTTTTTGGTGAAATGGGGAGATTTGGGGTTGAAACGAGGGGATTTTGGGGTGAAATAAAGGGATTTGGGGTCAAAATGGGGCGATTTGGGATTTTGAGGTAAAACAAAGGCTTTTTTTTTTGTGAAATGGGTGGATTTGGGGTCAAAACAGGAGGGTTTGGGGTGGTTTGGGGGCAAAACAGTGATTTGGGGGTGAAATTAAGGGATTTTGGGGCAAAATGGAACAATTCTGAGGGATCTGGGGGCAAAATAACGGGATTTATGGGGATTTGGAGGCAAAACAAAGCATTTTTTGTTGAAATTGAGTGATTTTGGGGCAAAATGGAGCAATTTTGGGGTGAAATAAAGGGATTTTGGGGTGAAATTGAGCCATTTTGGGGTGAAATAAAGGGATTTTGGGTTGAAATGGAGGATTTTGTGGTCAAACCAGTGGGATTTTGGGGGGATTTTGTGGGGAAGTCAAGGATTTTGGGGTGATTTTGGGGTGAAATGGGGGATTTGGGGCTGAAATGGGGGGATTTGGGGGTGAAATAAAGGGATTTTGGGGTAATCTTGGGGTGAAATAAAGGGATTTTGGGGCAAAACTGAGGGATTTTGGGGTGATTTTGGGGTGAAACAAGGGGATTTGGGGATGAAATAAAGGGATCTGAGGGTAATTTTGGGGCAAAAGAAAGGATTTAGTGGTGAAATGGTAATTTGGGGGTGAAATGGGGTGATTTGGGGATTTTTGGGGCAAAATGGAGCATTTTTGGGGTGAAATAAAGGGATTTGGGGGCAAAATAAAAGTTTTCTGTGAAACGGGGCGATTTTGGGGTAATAATCGAGGATTTGGGGTGAAACAGAGATGTTTTGGGGTGATTTTGGGGGTTTGAGGCTGAAATGGGGCGATTTTGGGGCAAAACGGAGCCATTTTGGAGTGATTTTGGGTCAAAACGGGGGTTTGGGGTGAAATAAAGGGATTGTAGGGCAAAATGGAGCGATTTTGGGGTGAAATGAAAGGATTTTGGGTCGAAACAGAGGAATTTTGGGGTATTTTGGAGCAAAACATGGAGATTTTGGGGTGAAATGAAAGGATTTTGGGTCTAAACAGGGGGATGTTGGGGTCAATTGAGGAATTTGGGCTGAAATGGAGGTGTTTGGGGGTGATTTTGGGGTGAAATGGGGAGGTTTTGGGCTGAAATGGGGTGATTTGGGGGCAAAACGGAGCCATTTTGGGGTGATTTTGGTTCCAAAAAGGGTGACTTGGGGTGAGATAAAGGAATTTTAGGGCAAAATGGAGCGATTTTGGGGTGAAATAAAGGGATTTGGGGTCAAAACGGGGATTTGAGATGATATCAGAAAGTTTTGGGGGGATTTTGGGTCAAAACGAGGAATTTGGGGGTGATTTTGAGGTGAAATAAAGGAATTTGGGGTCAAAACGCGTTGACCTGGAGTATTTTTTGGCAAAACAGAGTGATTTTGGGGCGAAATAAAGGGATTTTGGGTTGAAACAAGGGGATTTTAGGTTGAAACAGGTGGTTTTGGGGTGATTTGGGGTCAAAATGGAGCAATTTGGGGGTGAAATAAAAGGGATTTGGGGCCAAAACGGGGAGCTTTGGTGTGATTGAGGTGAAATGAGGGATTCTGGGGGGGATTTGGGGACAAAACAGGGGGATTTGGGCTGAAGTGGGGGGATTTTAGGGTCAAAATAGAGGAATTTGGGCTGAAATGGAGGTGTTTGGGGGTAATTTTAGGGTGAAATCGGGGGTTTGGGGCTGAAATGGGGTGATTTGGGGGCAAAACGGAGCCATTTTGGGGTGATTTTGGTTCAAAAAAGGGTGATTTGGGGTGAGATAAAGAGATTTTGGGTCAAAATGGGTGGGTTTGGGGTGATTTTGGGTTGCAATGGAGCAATTTTGGGGTATTTTGGAGCAAAACAGAGCGATTTTGGATCAAATAAAGAGATTTTGGGGCAAACGGGGGGATTTTGGGGCAATATAAAGCATTTTTGTGTGAAACAGAGCGATTTTGGGGTGAAATAAAGGGATTTTGGGTCAAAACAGGGAGCTTTGGTGTGATTTTGAGGTGAAATGAGGAATTGTGAGGGGATTTGGGGGCAAAATGGGATTTTGGGTCAAAACAGGAGGTTTTGGGCTGAAAGGAGAAGATTTGGGGATTGAAATAGAGGAATTTGGGCTGAAATGGAGGTGTTTGGGGTGATTTGGGAGTGAAATTGGGGCGTTTTGGGCTGAAACGGGGTGACTTGGGGGCAAAACGGAGCCACTTTGGGGTGATTCTGGGTCGAAATGGGGGATTTGGGGTGAAATAAAGGAATTCTAGGGGGAAATGGTGCGATTTCTGGGTGAAATAAAGGGATTTGGGGTCAAAACAGGGATTCTGGATCAAAACAGAAGGTTTTGGGGTGATTTTGGGTTGAAACAAGGAATTTGGGGGGGTTTTGAGGTGAAATAAAGGAATTTTGGGTCAAAACATGTTGAATTAGGGTATTTTTTGGTGTGAAATAAAGGGATTTTGGGGTAATCTTGGGGTGAAATAAAGGGATTTTGGGTCAAAACAGAGCCATTTTGGGGTGAAATAAAAGGATTTTGGGCTGAAATGGGAGATTTTGGGGCAAAATAACGGGATTTATGGGGATTTGGAGGCAAAACAAAGCATTTTTTGTTGAAATTGAGTGATTTTGGGGTGAAATAAAGGGATTTGGGGGAGAAATGGAGCAATTTTGGGGTGAAATAAAGGGATTTTGGGGTAATCTTGGAGTGAAATAAAGGGATTTGGGGCTGAAATGGGCAATTTTGGGGTGAAATAAAGGGATTTGGGGTAATCTTGGAGTGAAATAAAGGGATTTAGGGGTAATCTTGGGGTGAAATAAAGGGATTTGGGGTAATCTTGGAGTGAAATAAAGGGATTTAGGGGTAATCTTGGGGTGAAATAAAGGGATTTGGGGTAATCTTGGAGTGAAATAAAGGGATTTAGGGGTAATCTTGGGGTGAAATAAAGGGATTTGGGGTAATCTTGGAGTGAAATAAAGGGATTTAGGGGTAATCTTGGGGTGAAATAAAGGGATTTGGGGTAATCTTGGAGTGAAATAAAGGGATTTAGGGGTAATCTTGGGGTGAAATAAAGGGATTTGGGGTAATCTTGGAGTGAAATAAAGGGATTTAGGGGTAATCTTGGGGTGAAATAAAGGGATTTTGGGGTCATCTTGGGCTGATATAAAGGGATTTTGGGTCAAAACAGAGCAATTTTGGGGTGAAATAAAGGGATTTTGGGGTAATCTTGGGGTGAAATAAAGGGATTTGGGCTGAAATGGGCAATTTTGGGGTGAAATAAAGGGACTTTGGGTCAAAACAGAACAATTTTGGGGTGAAATAAAGGGATTTTGGGCTGAAATGGGGGATTTTAGGGTGAAATAAAGGGATTTTGGGGTCATCTTGGGGTGAAATCAAGGGATTTTGGGGTACCTCGACGAAGTTGGTGTGCTTGGCGTCGCGCACGGTGACCACGGCGTGCACCTCCTCGATCAGCTTCTGCTTCTCGTCGTCGTCGAACTGCATGTACCACTTGGCCAGGCGCGTCTTCCCCGCGCGGTTCTGGATCAGGATGAAGCGGATCTGCCCCCGGGGGGGGGGAAAACAGGGTCAGGGGGGTACAAATGGGG